ATTTTCTAAAAAAAAATTTTGAATTTTTATGAAATTTTCTAATTTTATGAAATCTTCCGAATTTCTGAAATTTTTTATTTATTTTTCTGATTTTTTTATTTTTATTTATTTTTAGATTTTTTTGAATTTTTTAGATTTTTTATTATTTTTTAATTTTTCCCGCCGAAGTGGTGAACCGGACCGACCCGATTCAACCTGGTTCGGCCGAGCCAAACCGGGCATCGCCAGCACCGATCGTCGGTCATATTCTTCGGCGAGAAACAGCACCAAAACGGCGCCGTTTCCGGCGTTTCTCTTTGAGGCATTTCGTCGAATATGTGGTGGGCATGTTTCTAAGTTTTATATTGTCGAGGCCGTGACTTTGAGCTCATCGCCGACGACCTTCCGGCAACTATTTTGCCTAATTTTTGGTTTCGTATCATCCCCTCATCACTACCTATCAATCTAACCTATCCAGTTCGTCGCCGAAGTATTCCCGGCCGGCGAAAAACCGATCCAAAAAACTCTAACCTAAAACCAATTTTAATAAGCTCCTCTAATTTCCAGATCAACATAAAGTCCGCCCTAACCGTCTAAGTCGATTTAAACAAGCACAAAAACATCAAACAAAGTTAGAAAAGGCTAACTTGAATAGTTTATGGCCACAGGGGCGCTCCGGCAAGGTTTGGATGGACTCCGGTGAGATAGTTCATGGACAACCGGTTCGGTTTATGCAAGTTTATCCACCAAAATGCAATCAATCAACAAAAAAATTATTAGAAACTTGTTTTAGACATCAAAGAACTAAAAATCAACAAAGAAATCGCATAAGTGTTAATCTTGAACTACAACTCATTTTCTGGAAATCTGGAAAACCCGTGATTGTGATAGATTTTTACCTGCTTCGTCGAGGAATCAAACGAAGTTGTTGCGCTTATCGGTAGCCGTAGAGTTCTTTCTGGATACTCCGGCTTCTAGTAAATGGCCTCAGCTTCGCCGGAAAAGCTCCGGACGCGCCGGCCGAGACTGTTTTCAGACCTAGATGATCAGCTTCGTCACAGGTTCACCAGATGTGGAAGATCACAATCGGAGCCGATTTGTCGGCACTTTCTCGCCGGAGAAGATGCCGATCACTTGGTCCTTGGATCCTCGATACATCTCTTGCTCTCTTTCTCTCTCTTTTGTGTTCTCTGGTTCGCTCTCTCCCTCTCTAGAATTTCGTCGAATACCTTCTATGCCTTGTTCAGTTTTTTCTTTGTTTTTGTTAGTCGATTTTTCCCGCCCAAAATCAGTTGCTACCGCCTTCTAATCGGTTGTAACCGATCTCCGAAGACAGCCGTAGATTCTCCAGCTGTCATTCGGGTTAAACACGTGTTCATTTGATCGGATTGAGTCGGTGAAGTGGCGGGGTCAAAGATATTTCCGGGTTTATTGCACGTTTTGGGCGAGTCGGGTAAGGAAGAAGGGTAGCCGGGTCGGGTCAGGTTGACGCGGTCAACCCGGCAGGCTCGATTTTGACTAAACTCGAAAATTAAGCTCCATTTTGACCCAATTTTCAAAATTAAACCCCAAAATTGAATTCCTTATCACATTTTGAACCCAAATATGTAATTTTTCCCAATTTTTAATAAAATCATGTCCAGGATTTTCGAACTTTTATATTCGGGTTATTAGGGTTTTATTCAATTTGATATCTTAATGACCTGATTAGACAAAATTGGTGCCAAAATTGAATTACCCATATATGATTAACCCTAGAAATGATGGTCTCATGGTTCGAAAATTTTGAATTAGGCACGATTCCCAATTTGGACTCAAAATTCCGAATTTTCAATTGAATTTTGGGGATTTTTTATTTTTATGATAAATTGTGCAATTGGACCAACCATCATTTAATTCGAGGTCCCAGAATCATTTGTTGTGAAGACACTATGACTTAGAAATGACTAGAAAAGATTTAATTGCATTTTTTGTTCAATTTGGGTTTGATTTTGCCTAATTTTGGGAAAAATACATACCCGATTGAGATTTTTCAAAATTGACGATGCATTAATGAAATTGGATTTAAAAGAAGACTGATGACTATTTTTATGGAATTTTCTGATTCCATTTGCTATTTTTCTTGATTTTCTCACTTATTTTGACCAAAAGAAATAAAAGAAAAATGCAAGAAAATGCTAAAAAAAATTATTTTTGGTTTAGAAATAGGTTTCTAGGCTTGGCCAAGGTTCCTAATCTTAATTTTAAGATTTTTGAAAATATGAAAAAAAAAGAGCTAAAAATCAAGTGTCAACAGACACCTTGATAAACAAGTTTCATGAAGAACTCAAAGTCTAATTCTTTCTTATAAATACCTCATTCGGAAGCATTAAACTCAAACTAAACACTGTTTACTGGAATAGAATCCTTGCCTCTTAAAATGAGCTCAGTTCAGCACCCAAATCCTCTCTAAAAAATCTCAAATTTAAATATGTTGTAGAGTAAGAAGTTCCCAAGGAATTTTGTGGAGGGAGTTTGTTCAGAATCCTTCTAGAAAATTTTATAAAAATTCAAGAACGTGAAAAGGTCACTGAAATAGAGCACCCGGGCAGTCTAGCACAGGTTCAAGATTAGGCCTTCGTGCTACCCAAAACAACTTTAAAAATTATGAAATGAAAATATGTTATACTCCTAGATGTTTTGAACAACTTTCATGAGGGAAGTTTTGCAAGATTCGAACCATAGAAATCTCTACAAAATTGGGAAGCGGTAAAGGTCTAGCAAAAACTGAGTTTGGAAATCACAACTCAAGTTCAAAAACAACTCAATACTTGATCCCCACGAGTTTGGTGTTCAAAAACATCCAAAACCAGAAACTAAGGGTGCGCATGGAATCCATTCCGGAGCAAAATTTCTGCTCCGGAATGCATTCCGGAACAGAATGACGTTTGTTAAAAAATTTCCGGAATGCATTCTGGAATAATTTTTGCATTCTGGACAAAAAATTCGTTTGGTAAAAACACATTCTTTTTTTAGTTCCGGAATGCATTTTCGCATTCGGAATGCGTTTTTCACCGAAAAAAAGAAGCTACAAAAAGTAGCTTCTCTGCTTCCGGGATGTATTCTGGCTTCTCCTTCAACTCTTCAGAAATCGTTCCACTCTTCATGCCCTCCTTCCTCCTTGCGAACGCACCGGAGCCGTCGCCGCATCCTTCCCCGAAATCGCCGCTGCGTCCTTCCCTCCTTGCGACTGCACCGGAACCGCCGCCGCGCCCTTCCCTCCTCGCGACTGCACCGGAACCGCCGCCGCGCCTTCCCTCCTCGCAACAGCACCGAAATCGCCACCACACGGGGCGGCGATCGATTTGGCCCTCCATCTCTGCCGTCTCCGTTTTTTCAAAGGGGCTCGTGAGTCTTCGATTCCTTCTCTTGTTAGCTTTTTCCTTCGGTGCAATCGGCGGTGCGTAACGCGGCTGTCCGTTTAGGGCACGTAGCCCGCGCGGATCTCGCTCTATCGAGTCGAAATCGAAGGAACGAGACGCCGCGAAGCGTTCTGGCGAGAACTCTCCATTCCTAACGTAGCACTCTCCTTTGACTCGCAGCGGATCTTCCCACCCAAGTATCACTCCGCCTTAACACGAACACAGAGCATAAAGAACGATAGAAGCTCAGAATCATGTCCATCTCCGACTCTGGCTACTCTTCGGCCTTATGCAAAAGGTAATTCGTATGAAACTCTCTCTCTCTGGGAATGAGAATTTCTGGTGTTGGGTCTGGTTGACCTTATGCTCTTGAGGCTAGAATTAAGATCCCCATGTTGAAAACTCTCGGTCTTAGGCTTGGGTCTCACAATCATCTCTGTTGCTTTTGCATTTCTTCACATTTCGATCATTCTTAGGGAAGTTCTTCTTCTATGGATTGGTTAAATTAGTTCGTTTTGATTATGTATCGTCTGTCTATTATAGATTGCTTGTTATGGCAATGGGGAAAGCATTATTTCTGTTCTTTTTCTTTGTGGCCAGTAGACTAAGTTTAGTCTTTTTAGGTTAACTCATTTAGATGTTATGGTCCGAGTCATCTCACTTTTGGGATGGGGATTCATTATAGTGTCACTGTCTCTTTTATGGGTGACTATCTAAGAGCAATGCGGCTCTATTATGAAGAGATCACTCTGAGTTGCTTTTTATGTTTGATTCTTCTTTTCAATTGAAATTTTATGTATCTGTTTGCATTATTTACTACGACAATACAAAAGAATTTCCTTTTTATTGTTTTTTGACTGACTAAGGGTGATTCATTTGTCTTGTTCCAGCTCTTCTGATTTAATAAATGGAAGAATAGAAATCTAGTCAATGATGCTACAGCTTATTGGTTTATCTAATGGAACTGACTTCTTAGGAGCGATACATTCTTGCCAGGGACTACACTCTTCTAAGAAGCTGCCTTCCTCTGCTTCATTGCTTGTCTGATTCTGTGGTATTTGTCTACCAGCTTAGTCCCTTACAAAATTGATCCCCGGTCTATTTACATGTGTACTTTTCATGTAATTTATGTCTTGAAAGAGGCATAGTTCTTCCCTTCTATATCTTTACCTAAGCATCAGCTATTCATATGTTAAATTCTTTGAATTTACATGATATTATTCCATGTCCTATGTTACAACAGATCTTAACAAGTGTCTTTCGTGGTATTCTACTTTTCCCTAGTCTATATCTGAGCCACACTTGTTCCAAGCAGAATTTGAATTTGAAAGTCCAAGTGCCTCGCCGCTCCATGCATTGCCTTTTGGATTTAATACATTGGAATTCTGATCTCTTTGCTGCACTGAGAATAGTTAAAATAGCTATCACACCACGAGAAGATTTTGGTTCTTATCACAGTTTAACTACTCCATTCATTCAGTCATTGCTTATTTATGGTTTTGTAGAGTCAAAAATTGTTCCTTGAGGCACTTTCTTATCTTTGCTTATAATATGTTTCTGACATTTTTATGCACACGAGCTTAGATACTAGAGATTATACGGCAGCTCATAATAGGCTGTTTAAGTATCAAGTTTCTTCTCCTGTTAGCCCTCAAGATTTGTTGTGCTCTTGCTTTGATATGTGCCTTAGTTCATCTATACTGACTATTCCCGCATCTCTCAAGGTAATGACTATTTCTGGAGCTCTGGACCATTTGCAATAGCAGTTTTACTTACATTCACATACTAAGTCCCATCAACGCAATTGAGGAAGAACCCGTGGATTAAGACTCTTCCTGCTCTAACAAGGCTACTTTAGGGTGTGAAATTCTTTGCTCAGGTACAATTTATGTTGTCTTTTGTAGATGTGCTCCTCTGTTTAATTATTGTTTGTTTGTTGAATCGCCATTACCAGCATTTGCCCCTGAAATTTCATCGATTTTACATAAATGGAATCCTCCAAAGACATGTACATGGCAAAGTGGACTGAGTCGTTGACGGAATTGTTTGTAAGTCTGATGGTGAATGAGGTAAAAAAGGGAAATCGCACATCATGTACCTACAACAGAGTAGGGTGGATTAACATTGAAGGAGAATTTAATAAACAAACAGGACTTCGCTTTAGTCTACCACAGTTCAAGAATAAGGCACAGAAACTGAAGAGACAATATGGTAGTTTCAAGAAGCTGCTTTCAACGACGGGATTTGGATGGGACGATGAGAGCAAGAGGGTTGTCGTGGACGATGAAACTGTCTGGGCAAATCACATCAAGGTGATATTACTTACTTAGGTCCTCTTATTGCTGAAACATCAAATGTAAGATTTATAAAAGGTTGAGTACTGCCTGATATTATTTTGAAAATGGCGCAGGCTAATACTGAATGGGCCAAGTTCAGGAAGGAAGGATTTCCTTTGTATTCACAGCTTTGTGTTGTGTTTGGGGATACATACGCTACTGGGGAGTTTGCAATAGGAAATGCGCAAAGCGTGGCGCCGTCGGAGGGTACAGGTGATAGTGGTGGTGGTGGTGGTGACAATGATGTTCATGTCGGCCTAAGCGAATCAGAACAGTTTTTCGAAACTCAAGCTAATGTGGAACAATTTAACGTGCCGGCCAGCCCACTTCCAAAAAGCCACAAGTTGGATAGGACTCCAAATGCCAAGAGAAGGAGAAAGAGCAGTTCACATTCATTTGACGCGACCTGCAAAGCCATTCAAGAGATGATCAAAGCTAAGACGGTTCAAACATCAAGTGCCTCCGTTACCTCACAGTCCTCAACACCTGTGGACCCTTACTCTGTAGCAGCTGTGGCTGCCGTCCTAAATGCCATACATGACTTGGACAAGGTTCTTTACATCAAAGCTATGAACCGTGCTGTCAGTAATGCCTCTTGGAGAGAGGGCTTCCTGACATGTCTTCCCGAAATGAGAGTTGCCTTTATTGAGTCTATGGATGAGTAGTTGGGCTGTTGAGTAGTTGTTGGGTTATAGTATGCCGTTTTATGTTTGAGTTCATTTCGGCTTTTCACTTATGTATTTCAGACATTGACTTGTCTTTATTCCTATGCATTTGTGATGATGTTGAGACTTTGCTTTAATGTGATTGAATTCCATAATTATCTGTCCAGTGGTATTAAATTCCCCACATATCAGTTCAAATGTATTGGCTTCCCAACTGACATGTTGAGTTTGTCTTCTTCTTTCGCATGACGGCCTAGGTAATATGGAAGGGGATCAAAGTAGCTGGTCTAATGATCAAGTAGCATCAAGTGAAACAATTCTATCAGGTGAACAAGACTTTGATGAGGATGAGTTGAATATATTGTTGGTATGGTTGTCTACTGCTTGGTTGCATAGGTCCATGCACAGGACAGAACGTATTAGGGATAGCGTATTGACAGGACCCGAATGGGTTAGCGAGCTTCTTCATGGACATTCGGATAGAGTATACGAAGCATTTAGAATGGAGAGACATGTTTTTCTTAACCTTTGTGGTTTGCTCAAGTCAAGAGGTTGGTTGACAGACAGTCGATATGTTAGGGTAGATGAACAGGTTGCCATTTTTTTATTAATGATTTGTCACAAGAACTCCAACAGAGCTATATGTGAGAGATTCCAACGTTCAGGAGAGACTGTCAGCAAGTACTTTGGTGCGGTGTTGAAAGCTGTTTTGGAATTGGCGAAGGAGATTATCGTACCTCCTTCATTTGATGTTGTCCCAGAAGAAATTCGGATTGAGCCAAAGTTTAATCGTTACTTTAATGTACGTTTTTTGTACATTTCCTTGCACCATTTGGTTAGTTTTGCTCATAAGGTTGTCTAATGTATGTATTTAATTAAATGACAGGGGTGCATAGGCGCTATGGATGGCACCCATATTCATGCTACCGTACCTGAATGTATGCAAACACGATTTAGAGGTAGAAAAGGCACAACTACTCAGAACGTGCTGTGTGTGTGTTCCTTTGATATGCGATTTACTTTTGTGTATGCTGGTTGGGAAGAATCAGCGAACGATTGCCGGGTGTTATCGGCTGCACTTGACACACATCACCTACAGTTTCCTCGACCACCCGCAGGTGCTACTTTGATATATAATGAGTATTTGTGTTTATGAGTTTGCTAGGATTGCATGTCATGATCAATCCATGAATACTTTGTTGCAGGCAAATACTACGCCGTCGATTCTGGTTATGCTTCAAGTCCAGGATTTTTAACACCATTTAAAGGCGAACGGTATCATATACCAGAATTTCGACGAAGTGGGGGACCAACAACAGCAAAGGAATTGTTCAACCACAGGCATTCGTCATTAAGGAATATCATTGAGAGATCCTTTGCGGCTTTGAAGAATCGTTTTTTTGTTTTGAGACATATGCCTCCATTTAAATTTGAAAAACAAACACAGATTGTAATTGCATGCTGTGCGATTCATAACTACATCATTGAGCAAGACAGGATGGATAAGCATTTGTCCATATATGGAGATCCAGATTATGTGTGTGAAGCTACTGAACAGGGTACAGATGATATAGTGACGACCGAAGAGGGAAACGAGATGAACATTATCAGGAAACGTATTGCCAATAAAATGGCTAGGGATAATCATATGCCGGAGATTCCATGAAATTCGGTTTTCCACTATTGTATTGTACTTCCATTATTATTATTCGAGGATTATTTGCTTTTTTTGCCTTTTGTAATATAATGTTGTATTGTAGGATTCGTATTATGTGTAATTGAGGATTTTGTACCAGGTCTTCTTGTAATGACATGTTATTTTGGAATTTCTGTTCTTCCTAATTGAGGATTTAAAAAAATGTACTATATTTTGTCTCGAATATCATGCATTGTAGGTTAAGATAAATAACATTTTGCAATTGAGCTCAGACTATCTTTGTTGCAGAAATAGAATTGGCGCGCTGTTATCGAATGCATTTTTGGCTTAGAATACCTGTGGCCACCCAGTTTGAGTGAAATTTCAATTTTTTTAGGTGTAAAAAAAAAATTCAAAAAATCAAAAAATCAAAAATTTCAAAACTTCACAGAATGGCTTAGAATACATGTGGCCACCCAGTTTGAGTGAAATTTAAATTTTTTTAGGTGTCTACAAAATATCAAAAATTTCAAAACTTCACAGAATGGCTTAGAATACCTGTAGGCACCTTCAAAAATTTAAATTTTTACTCAAAGTGGGTGGCCATAGGTATTCTAAACCATTTTTGTGAAGTTTGAAATTTTTGAATTTTTTATTTTTTTGGGCACCTAAAAAATTAAATTTCACTCAAAGTGGGCGGCCACAGGTATTTTAAGCCATTTTGCGAAGTTTTGAAATTTTTTATTTTTTGATTTTTTTGGGCACCTATTACAATTTAAATTTCACTCAAAGTGGGTGGCCACAGCTATTCTAAGCCATTATGATCAGTTTTGAAATTTTTGATTTTTTTAATTTTTTTTGGGCACCTAAAAAAATTTAAATTTCACTCAAAGTGTGTGGCCACAGGTATTCTAGCCATTCTGATAAGTTTTGAAATTTTTTATTATTTTTTATTTTTTTTGGGTAAATAAAAAAATTAAAATTTCACTCAAAGTGTGTGGCCACAAGTATTCTAGCCATTCTGTGAAGTTTTGAAGTTTTTCATTTTTTGATTTTTTGAAATTTTTTTTAAAAAATTGAGTTCGGACTATTTTTGTTACGGAAATAGAATGGACATGCCGTTATCAAATGTATTTCTCATCCATAAGCAAAAATTTCCTTATGTTTTACCAAACAGATTTCTCTTTCAGAAATCAATTTCTGGAGCAGAATTAGTCATGTTTTACCAAACAGATTTCTCCTCCAGAAATCAATTTCTGGCAATAATTCCAGAAATCAATTTCTGGCAAGAATTTGATTTCTGGAGCAGAATGGTTACCATTCGCACCCTAACTTCCATCACCACCGTCCCTTTCCATCTATATCCTAAACCTACACCCGACTCAACATACAACCCATTCCAATCTAATATAGGGAGGCAGAATTCCACTTGCCTCAACAGTTGAGCATGGCGCGATTTGTCCCGAAAAAGAAAGAAAGGACTCGCAGCGGCTTCCTGAAGTGTTCTGGCACACCCCAAGCTCACGGACGAGGAGAAGTTACTGGCGTGACAATTTTGGATGGTGTTGGTAGCAAATAGAATGAAGCGTGAAGCCGGCATCGAGAAGGAACAAGGATCGGGCTAAACAAAAGGAAGAAGAAGGAGAAGTCGGCGAGAGGAAAGAAGAATCAGAAAACTTGGAGAGGAATCTAGATTTTTCTTTTCCCCATTTTTGCTTACTGCAGCACGGTTTGGGAGTCTGAGGCGCCACATGTCCCCTTGGTGGCTTACTTGGCACGATCTCTTTCGCCAAGTGATAGAAGAAGAAGCAGAAGCTGTTGACCGGAGAAAAATTGGACAACTGGCGGTGGTGATGCAAGGGAAAAGTAGCTGGTGTTGTAGCAAGCTAACGGGGAAGTGTCTTGCATTGGTGGACGGTGAGAAGTGGGGCGTGACCACAACATTCCTAATGGTATACAAGGAGCGAAAGAGGGGAGGTGGAATTGTGGGAATAGCGTGAAAAGGGTTTAATCAAAATTGGTGCGGAACAAAATTTTATTGTCAGGACGGTTATTTCGTAACACAACATTAATGAACGAAATGATAGACAATTGTAGGATGGTCTTGCGGTGGTTGACATGGTGATGGTATAATGGCCTCGTAATAATGTCCGCGTCTTTCGAAGTTAACTCTTCTGTAGCTCGTCGACAATTGTTCAATTTCCCACGTGACGTTCCGTTACGTATGCTCGTTAACTAAAGTACAAAATTTTTGGGATGTCACATGTATCCTCTTGGGTATTGGATGTTGTCTACCCAATCGAGGTATGGCTTGCGGTATACAGGCCTCGGTACGCCTCCTTCCATACCCATACGTTGCATCACTAAACAAGCAGCTTGTTCAATCATACGTTGGTCTCTTTGAGGATCTTATGCCTAGTATCCCTTATTAACTTGCGCCTTAGGGGGTGACAATGGTCAAGCCCCCAAGTCCCTAAATACCGCTTGTGGCTTATGGGGTTGGTATCCTGGGCTTATGGGGTTGGTATCCTGGAATTAGCACTGGAATTGTCCTGATATTAATGGGACTAGTCATTGGCATACCACTACTGCGGGCTTGTCGAGCAACCTCCTGGATTGACGGTTAGGGAATGAATCCTTGTGTATCCATTCCTGTGGTGAAAGGGTTAACAGTTACCCTCACTGTGTTTGCATGAGTGACACACTCGGGTACGCGCCCAAGAGAACCCATGGATCCGTTCAAACTTAAATGGTCCCCCAGACCAGTCTGATTCTGATCGCCAGCGGTATCAGTCCTTTGCAAAATTCGAACAAGTTGTGTCGGACCCGAAGTACCAGCAACAGTAGGTAAAGCGAGAGCCATTGTTGGGATGATCCCTAGCACAACTTGACTTCCTTGCACTCCGTTTGATCCGCTCGCTGGTCCAAACTTCAAGGCTAATTCCACAACCAGATTGGTAAATAGAGGGGTGAGAATTCCCGATAGATGATTGGCCATGTGATTAGCCAGTTCATTATGTCGTTCTTCAAACATCCTTCTTATAGTGGCCAACACCGCAGAGTTATGCGCCAATTCTCTCATATGTTCCTTGGTCAAATTCCGAGGAATATCTTCAAAACTTACGCCCACGCCGATATCGACGGCTGGGTTAAGGTTCTGGTTAGATGTATCGGAACGAGCAAGCCTTTCTCCCATACGCTACGGGGGATGAGTTATCCTTGCCGGTGGCAGTACAACTCTCCTTATTCCTTGTCTTCGCCATTGACACTTCCTAGAGACGGAACACAATAGTCCCACCAAGCGTGCCAAAGAGATGTTTCGCCGAGATTGGCCTCGAACGAAAAATCTTTCACCAAAGGGGAAGATCTTCGATTTTTTATGAGTAACCGATCCTGTGTTGTTTCGGAAAGGAAGCGACGAAATCTACTCTAACGGCAATAAAAGTAAAAGGACAGGAGATAAAAAGTGTGCGATAAAATGTAAATTAACGATAGCAATCGAATAAAATGAGATTACAAAGACAAGTGTTCTGTAGTGTATTTGGCACAAGGTCCTTTTAATGCTTGCCTTAAGGCTATTTATAGCTAACGTTGATGAATAACCGATGTCGAACGGTTATCATCTCAACTCTAGATTGTTCTGGAATTTTCAATTTCCTTCCCGATAACTATCTCCTCTTATCCGCAGTATTGTCGGCACCAAATGTGGTAACCACTCTTATCTTTATCCTATCGTCTCGAGCGATTATTGGTGCCGGGTTTTCGGTATCCTGTGTAGCGGGCCTTGTGCGACTTTCTCACCCTAGCTATTGTTTTAGCGATTTGGGCCTAATGTACCATTTCTTTCCTCTAGCCCAATTAGCTAAATTTGAGCGCCAACAAGTACATAAATCTCTCATCTCAAACTCAACACTCAACTGCCTTTTCAGCACATTAATATTAGACATATTTTTAATTGCTATCAACATGTCATCAACATATAATAACAGATATATCAAAGACCCATCCTCCAATCTCCTAAAGTAAACATAGCTATTCATCTAATATTTTTAAGTAGTCCTAACTAGCCATGAAAGCATCAAAACGCTTATACCACTATCTAGGATACCGTTTCAGCCAATATAAAAATTTCTTTAACAAACAAGCATGATCTTCCTTATCCAAAATAGCAAATCCCACTGGCCACCTCACGTTAATCTATTCCAACTCATCGTGAACAAATGATGTTTTCACATCTAACTACTTTAGCTCGAGATCTTGTGCAACAACTAAGGCAAGTAATGTACGAATAGTTATAGTCAATGTTCTACCGTTGTATATACCCCTTCGCGACAAGTTTCGTCTTATACCTCAATGCCTCGACATCGAGAATGCCCCCTTTTTGTTTAAAGACCCATTTTGCTCCCAACATCTTCTAGCTCTTAGGTACCTTAACCGACTCCCATGTCTGATTTCGATGGAGTGATTCCATCTCTTCACTCTTGGCCCTTAACCACTACAACGACTCAGAATTAGCCATTGCCTCAAAATAAGACAAAGGCTCATATGTCTCCACATCGTTACTTACAGTCAATGCATAAGCAATATCTTTATAACCATAAAGTACCGATAGTTTAGTTTGCCTTCTTTGTTTGACCGTGGATATAATGTGTTTGCGGCTGTGCTAGTTGTTGAGTATCACTGACTTCAGGAACTGTGATCTCATTTATAGTCTCTACTTTTGTTACCTTCGAGGTCTCTATAGTCTTAACCTGAAACTCCACCTTATTACTAACACCATGATCTGTTTGCTCTTCTGGTTGTGTCTCAAAACTCCTCATTTGAAGCATTGTAGTCTCGTCGAAGATCACGTCTTTGCTTATTTGAAAATCGAGTGATCTGGATCAGTGCAGCACAGTCGGTAGGCTTTCAGCCCAACTACATAACCCCAAAAAATGCATTTCTTCGCCCTCTGCTCAAGCTTAGCATTGCTTGCATGAGCACATGCAGGACATCTGAATACTCATAATCCGAAGTAATCAATATGTTTCCCCGATCATACTTTCTCAAGAGCCTTCCACTCAATAACAAATGATGAAGGTCAATTAACTAGATAACA